AAAGAATAGCCAAGAAGCTGATGATGAGGATGGGAACATCGGTGACCCTCCCACAGAGGAAGGTACAGTGGATGAGGCGCAGCAGGAGCGGGAGGATTTGGCCTTCCGGGCCAGGTACAATTTTGGCAAAGGTGCATCAAAGGGTGAACCTACGTCGGGTGAGCCAAAAGGTCGTCTGTGTCTGTATTACAATCAAGGTGGTTGTAAATATGGGACTACATGCAGGTATCTTCACAACGATGACATAGCATTGGAAGGGACTTGGGAGCCCGGCAAATCTTGGGACAATGCTTCCAGGAAGGCACTAAGGGACGCAGGGTTCCACCATTGCTGTTTCGATTATTACCTCAGAGGACGTTGCCGGAAAGGGTCAAATTTCTGCAAGTACTCCCATGACGAGATGTCAGAGGAGCGGCTGACGCTCCTGAAACACTTGGTACAGGTGGCCAATCAGGCCCGGTTTGAAAAAGAGAGAGGATGGGAGATTACGGATAGAAGCACTTTTCAGCCACCTGCGAGTGGGGGAGCTGAATCTTCCTCATCCTCGGCACCAAAAGCGCTGCAAATGACCAATGTGTCACAAAAAGAAGGTGAAAAAGGTATTCTGGATGAAGCAGAAGCTGATGAACAAAAGAATTCGGTGGCTGCATCCACTGGTACTCGGCTTCAAAATCCGGAGGAGCCAATTGAAAATTGGATGGCTCGCAACGAACACCTGTGGGTGTATACCCCTCATGTAAGTGAGGTGATGATTACGCTTGGTGTGACCAATGTGACTTGCAAGAGTTCATCTTTGTGGAAGATTTGGTTGACAAAGGGATCAACAAAGTGACCGCATGCAAAATTCTGCAATTGGTTGGTGATGTCCGATATCGCCCGGGAGGACCGGAAAAAGCAGTTCCTTCTGATGCATCCGTACGGGTACAACAATCTTCTGGGAACAAAGGAACTGGAAGAGCGGCGGTGCGAACCCTCACTCAGGTGCGTGAAGCTGAAGACTCCGGTGCAAAAACCATGCCGAGAGGCTCCTATCGGGAGCTTTTTGATAAGGTCAGGTACCGTGATGGTTGGACGCTTGCGCAGAGGTCTCCGTTGTGCGTACAGAAGCTGCGGTTGGTGGGAGTTGGAATGCCGCCGGTGAATCCACCAACAAAAAAATATCGGTCAAGATCAAACCCTGTGAGAAGGGGAAGGCCCTTGCTGGACAAAAAACAAGTGCGACAGGTGCCACGCTCTCGGTCACAACGACGAGTGCAACCGGCGGAAGTGGTGGAAAAGCCGAAGCCACTGGAACTGAAGCCTCGTGGTGGGTTGTCGTATCGGTTCAGCAGAGCGTGGGCAGATGTGGTGGATGATGATGAACAGGCGGAGGCCTTGGTCTCGTACGCCGCTTCCTCAAGCGATTCAAGCGAAGAGGAGACCAATGCTGCGCAACGCCTGAAGGAAATCTTTTTGCAAGAAAGGGATTCACAGAGAACTGCGAATCGTGGCAATGTTCCGCAAAGTGGTTCTTCAGGCTCCAATGACGGGCCGAAAAAATCGGTTCACCTTGGCGAAGGGCGCGACAAAGCGTCGCGGGGGGAGACCCGCCAAGAAGTGACTTCGCAAGTTTTTTCGCTACCACAACCTTCTCGTCGAGCTGAACGGTCTCAAAAAAGAGCAAGGGATGGTTCAGTTATGGTTGGTTCGCTGGCGGTGGGCTCCACGGATGAGGTTTTACCTGGGCAAGGTGTTGCTGGACAGGTGAATGTATCTGAAAGCGCTCAAGTTCTTCCTGGGCAAGAAGTGGCTGGACAGGGGACGGCGCTGGAAGGAGCAGTACAAATTTCTGGCGAGGAGACTGACCAAAAAGAAGGAGAAGGTGGGAGCAATGAACTCCGTGGTGATGGTGCGAAGATATTGGATGTTTGTCCGGTGAGGAATGACCTTCAGCAATTGCTGGTTAAAGGTCTTCTGACTCGGATTTATTGGAAGGTTGCAGTTGGCAAGTTGCCGGTGGGGCAAAGAGACTGCCAAAAAGGGTCCAATAAGATGGATCGAAATTTGGTTATTAGCATGTCATCCGAGGGTGCAAGCGAACAGGATGAGAACCTGGCACTGGAGGACGATGCTGATCAGTCAATGGGTGACGGTGCGATGGTAGTTCTGGTGTATGATCCAAGGACGCTGATTCAGTCGCCAACAACTGATTGGGTTATGCGTCGCGGTCTTACCGATCGTTCCGTCTGGCCAGCAATGGCGTACATGGCACAGAGGATATGTGCTGAAAAAATGGTTCAAGTGGATGAAATGAATGCCCAGCTAGGGACTGGAGCACTCCTTTTTCAAAGGAGAGATCAAGGACATTATAGTGACCTGCATCATTCGTTCCATGACAACCCGTGCTTGCCGGCGGTGGGAAATTACCCTCTTTCGGTGATGGGTGCCTTGTTGTCTCCTGGTCTGGAAGGGGAATTCAAGAATACTGACAAGTTTGGAACTGCTATGGAGGCAATTGCCTATGATTGGAGTCGCAGTCCAGGCATGGAAGTTCACATTGAACTTATGGCGAGGGTAGCCAAAATGGTTCACCCGTTCCTGAGTCTTGGAGCCCAGGGGTCGGTGATGGTTTCGGAATTTCTCTGGCAGCGCGGGAGGGCCCGGTTGATGGAGTTCCTTCAAGCGGCGACTTGTGCAGACCAATTGGAGGCTCTCTGGAGAAGGATGGACGACGATGCTGATGAAGAGGTGGATCCTTCGACAGCGGTGCTGGAAGTTCTTGGACCAGAGGATGCGGTACTTGATCAAGGGAACAATGAATCCCTTATTCCCATTGAAGATGCTGGAGGTGAGACAAGTGGTGACACTGGAGGGGATGGCAAAGCGCCAGAGGTTTCTCCGGAAGAGGAGACATCCAGTGGGTCATCAAGACTGGCGGACACAAGGATTTTCTTGTGGTCAGTGTACTCCCGCGTGGCTTCGAATTTCTCTATGCAGGACCGCACTACTGGTAAGATCTTTGACAGCACAAAAGGGTATCCTGGTGAAGGACCAAACAATGATGACAATCCTTCCTCTAAGGGGAACTTACCCTGGATCTCAGAAGACTACCTCGACGAAGTGGTGTCAAAAAAGATGGAAAGGTCTTCAGATATGGATGGGTTTGTTCCGGGAAGTGAGGGACCATTGGAAAAGGTAGAGGTGGAGAATGTTACTGCCTCTAAAATTCTTATGGCTCTTTGGAAGAAGGGACATAGAGTTGGTTATAGGAGGTTGTGTCGTTTGAACGCATCTGGATGCAAGGTTGGAGCAATGAAACGTCCAATCAAAAGGGTGCAGAAGATTGGCACTAGAAAGGCCTTCATGAAGATGTTCAATGTTTTTGGATCGTCTCAGCATGGCTCAGGAGTTGGCGGAAAACCGATCATGAAGGTGGTAGGACCAAGGCCAGGTTTTCCAGCTGTACTCCAAGCACCAAATACTGATAGCACGTCGGGTGAAGGGAGCAGTCCCCAGGTACATGGCAATGTTCATGTAGAGCACAATCGCCCTATGGACCGGTATGAGGCAGAGCGCTTGGAGAAGAGGAAGAAGGGCTTCTGCTATTGGTTCGGCAAGGGGAAAGATCGCTGCAAATTTGGTGACGACTGCAAATTCATCCATTCCGAAGATGATGTGGTGCTACATTCGTATTGGTGTAAATACTATGTGGCAGGGAGAGAATGTTTCGCTGGAAAGGATTGTGGGTTCTCGCATGATGCAACTGGTGTGAGGTGCGTCCAGTTTGCTCGGTCTGGGAAGTGTCGGTTTGGTGACAGGTGTGTCTTCGAGCATGGTGTTCCGCTGGAAGAACAGAGGCCAAGGTCTCCAAGGACGCCCCCAAGGGATGGTCCAAGGAGAAAGTCTGGTGCAAATGGTGGAGAAAAGGAGATCTCTCCTGAACAGTTCGATGATGATGAGGAGGATTTTATGGTTTATGACGAAGAGACCAAGATGACGGAACTGTTGATGGAGGCGATTTCATTTCTGTCCGGTGGCAAGCCAGATTTGGCTCGAGCAGAGGCGGACCCATTGTTCAAACTCCTGAAGTTCACTGGAGATGCTGACCAAATGGATCAAGAATGGGTTTCGTGGACCACTGAAATGTTGACCGTGCTGGAACTTCTCGAAGTAGTGAAGTCGTATGAGGTTTCGCTCGCGGAGGTGGAAGAATGGGTCAATGACCTGAGGATATGGTATGAGCGAGCCAATTTGGGAGAGGAAAAGGATTCCAAAAGAGGTAAAAAGAGGTCCCTAGAAAGGGAGTCCAGCAAGGATATTCCTGCCGAAAAAGGAGTGGTTGAGACTTCGGAGACGGAGGTTGCCGTTGAAGAAGAGAAGAAAAAGGTAAAAAGAAGAGGAAAGCTGCAGCTATCGAAGATCCTTACACTCTCATGGTTCCAAAGCCGAAGAAGATGCCGACGATCATTGAGAAGGGTGGATCAACATCCAATGTGGTGGCTTCTGCAGTGGAAAAATCCTCGAAGACGCGCACAAAGTCAAATGTCGGTGGAAAGACAAAGAAGAGGGAGAAAAGTCAGAGTCCCAAAAAAGAAGAGGTGGTAATGGTGCAAGATCCTGAGGAAAAGGATCGTCCATCTGATGCGGATGCACCAGGGTCTGCCACTGCGAATGCAGAGCTGGGTCAATCTTGCCAGGCGATTGAGGACGCAAAGAGAGAAGGATTGGTATCCTCAATTCAGCTCATTGCGAGTTCACCAGGCGCTGCTGGCGCGGAGGCCGGAATTGACTGGACGCAGGCCAGACGAACTCTCAAAGGGGTTGACGATGCCTTGCAGCGCAATGCCCTCCGTGCCTTATGGCAGGGAACTATGGGAATTGCCGCCAACGCGGGATGCGCCAGATGCGGAGCCAGGGGTGGCCTCCAGCACGTTCTGCGTGACTGTCCGAAGCTTGGGACTTGGCGATGGAGGGACGAAAACCAGTTTACTTACCCCTCCCCCTGTTTTTGGTACAGGGGCATGGTGCCAACTGCATGGACCCAGGCGGAGCCCTACGCGCAAATCTACGAGGAAACCGGTCTCTGGAGAGAAGCCGGTGTGCTTGCCGGTGAGCACTACGTCTTCGCCACGGACGCTGGCGCCATAGGCAAAGACCCGCGAGCACGCCGGGTGTTCTGGGCGGCGGTCGCCTGTCGATGGGATGGAGAGCAGCTTGTGCAGGTCGCCACTTTGCGGGGAAGTCTTGTTGGTGAGCAAACTGTCCCACGTGGTGAGGCTTGGGCCATAAAAGAGCTCCTTGCCCGGGTCACTGGTATAGTTGACCTCACCATGGATGCTCAGGCTGTTCATAAGAAACTCAAGCGGCGGAGGCCGGGCCAGGATTCCCTGTGGAACGCCATTTGGGACTCCAAGGAGGCGGTGACCTTGGCAGCTACCTGGATTCGGTCGCACCAGTCAGTTGAAGCTTTCCGCGCACGGTTTGGGCAGTGCCTTTGGCGACGTGAGGTGAACGCAATGGCTGATGCTTGCTGCACGGAGCTCCGGCTGCGGTGCCGGGAGAAAGTCCGGGCACACGAGGCCAGACTCAAGCTGCTGGACTCGGACACCCACAGGGCGCTGATTGGACAAGCCGCTATATTGGCGGAGCTCATCAGTAACCTGCCGAGTGGGAAAGACCCGCCTGTCGCTGGGATGGCTGACAGGAAGAAACACCTCAAGGGTGCTGAAGCAAGGAAAAGGGGCCCCGTTGAAGCGCGAGACGCCACTAGTAAACGCGACTACTTGGCAAAACTTGCGAGCGGAGACTTGAAGGGCGGAGACCACGTCTGGGTTGCCATGAAAAGCGGAGTGAGGTGTAAGGAGTGTGGAATCACCATGAGCTCTGGACGCCCCTATAAGCTGCTCGCACGGATAGCTGCGCTCCCATGCCAGGAGGGCGAGGATGCCGCGACTCCGTACGGAGTCCACCCAAGCCATAAGCTGCGGAGACAGGGTGCAAAGCTCAAGTGTGCCGGGTGCGGAGGCACGTACTTCCTAACCAAAGCTCGGGCGGGGACCCTCCTCGGGAAACGGTGTCACTAGTTAGAGCTCTCCGAGCGCTGCCGCACGCCAAAAAAAAGTATCCTCAATTCAAAGGGGCGTACAGGATCCTGTTCTTACAGTTTCGGACCTGGAGTATATTCTGCTGCAACTTCACCTCAAGATTGCCAACAATCGGAAAAAGAAGTGATTGGATGGTATGGATGAAGGGATGGTTTTTCTCTTTCTGGAGACAGGTGCGCTGGAACAGCCAATGTGCTGACAATGTGGTGGTTACTATTAAGGGTATGGAAATCCCTGATAGTAGAAGTCAGTAGCTTTTCGCGTAGCGAAGACCACGGTTTGTGGTGAAGAAGGCCAAGGAGTCTTCAGTAATGAGAGGATCATGGTGAAAAGAGATTCTCTGTGGGTAGTAGGTTAGCCAATGTGCTATAATTCCGTCCTCGAAGACGTTAAACCATAACATGCATTTCAAGCAGCTGGCTGCTGCCTTAATGGCAGTTTTTGGCCAAAAGATCTGCATCTCCAATGTGTCCTAGGAAATCCTAGGACAGGGGGAGTGCGGAGCTGCAATTGGTATTGTAGAAAAGAGTTAGTGTTGAGAGTTGGAAGGGTTAATGAACCCGGAAATTATGTTTGGCTCAAGATGGGCTTGAACAGAAAGCCACAAGTTCAAAAAGTAGTGCCTGGGTTCTTAGGGTTTGGTAAGGGTGTGGATTCCTTCCCCCTTTCCTTCCCCCCTGGGTTGCTCTTATCCGTGTTCTTGTTTGTTTCTTGGTTCGATCTGGGAAATATAAGTTCAGGGCGATTAGGGGAGTTGATTTCCTTCCTTGGTTGTCCCCCCGTACCCTAAACCCTGAACCTTGAACCCTGAACCCTGAACCGTGAACCCTAAACGTGGTCGGATCGCCAGGAGTCCTTCGCCGTGCACCTGCGCCATGGGCGGCTGCACGGAGTGGGCGTCGGAGGCGAGAGAACCCCAAAGCTCTTGAGGTTAGGCTTATAGGGCCTAACCCTAAACCCGAAGCCCTAAACCCTAAACTAAATACCCTAGATACCCTAAGCCCTAAACTAAATACCCTAAATACCCTAAACTACATACCCTGAATACCCTTCAACCCCTAGACCCAACAACAAAGCCTGAAGCCACCAACCAGCACACCCTAGACTTGGCCCTGAACCCCCGTAAGACCTGGAGGTTTACGATTCTCACGACCCTTGCAAGGACCCCTCAAACAAGTAGGATCTCCTTGTTACCCCCTAAACCCTTAACCCTAAACCTGAAACCCTAATGTCGGAAAGGCAACAAGAAGAACCGTGAGCGGGCCGGGTATCTGGCGCTGACTTTGGCAGCTTTGCTGGAGCAGAGTGGGCCTTGCCCAGGTGGGAGCCAAAATGTTTGGGGGGTTTAGGGTTTAGGGTTTAGGGTTAGGGTTCAAGTCAAATTTTGAGTTCTTGTTGCTGCTTTGCAAACGGTCAGCTTGCAGCGCCTCAGCCTTGAGGAGTATAGGGACCCTGAAGTAGATACGGAATGTGGGGGTGTTATGTAAAAGCTCGGCTATGACTTGCCACCTCGGGGATTCTTCTTCTTGCTTCAGGGATGACTGTCCTTGTTCGGTCAAAACCCTAAACCCCAAACCCTAGACCCTAGACCCTAAACCTCAGGCGAGCTGCGGTGGGATCTCCGTCTTGCGCAGCAGACGGAGATTCGATACCTCGAAGACCCCAACTTGCCCGACGCGAGGGAGGAGAGAAGGGAGCCCGACACCATGGAAGATACTTGGTACTACAGGGGCCTTAGTAATCAGAACACTGTTTTGAGGGGGCGCGGTATGATAGTATATTTATACAGGGACCCTAGGGGAAGAATGTTAGGTAATTCTTCCGAGCCCTAGATCAGGCCTTTGGGAGATGTTGTATTTCCCTCTTTGGGGGTTAAGCGGATCCTATTCAGGAGTGTTGTTTTTCTCAGAGGGTTTCTAAGGGGCCAGCCTAGGATGCCCAGAGCTATGGAGATGCAGGAAGCAGCAGCGATTTGAAGGTGCCGCGGCCTGGGACGTGGATTTGGTGGCTGGGTCATCGCCCACGTGGCACCCCGGTGGTGCTCTGTGAAGACCGCACCGTTGAGGTTTTCCAGACTGCCAAGAACTGGCTGTTAAAGGTCGCTGAGCTACAGAGCTGGCCCCAGGATGTTGCGGAAGGTCGGGTGCCCCAAGATTGGAAGGAGCGCCTGGCTCCCGTGTTTCCGGACATCTACTGCCTGGGGCTGTGGAAGATGGACTATGAGAACGAGCCATGGCAAGTGGTCACCGTCGGTCGCAACGTGGAAGAGAGGTGGCGAGCTGCGGCTGTCGGGCTGGCGGCGCAGATCTCTGGCTGGTGTGGTCGATGCAAGGAGCCGGCGATCAACGCCGCGTTGACCGAAGCAGGCTGGATTCCATCAGAGGAGCTTTGGCACTTCTATGACTTGAAGGGGGAGGGCTTTTGGCAGAACTTGTCACAATGGCAAGAGACGACGGCGCAACCCAGGTTGCCGGTCACTGACGTGAGCACGATAAAAAAAATGCAGAAGCAGTGCCTGAAGGACATCCGAATGACTTGCCAGCCCGCGCTGCACAGAGAGCTGCGAGCGCGCGGTGGCTACGCGGAGATCGACCTAACCTGTTCGTGCCGGCCCTGGCAGTCCATCCTGGCAGGCCACGCCATGCGACAGGAGATCATAGGACAGGGCGTGCAACGTTTCGCGATTGCATCAGATGAAAGAAAACTGGATCCACACCAGGAAAACGCGCCGTTGGTGTTCTGCCGAGTGGAGCAGGTGAATGGGGCAACTACAACGTTCTCAGACCTGGAACGGACGGAGGAAACGTTTCGTCAGTTTTGTCTACCGAAGGATGAGTACCTGGCATTTCGAATGGCGTCGGAGTGGAAGGTTGAGGGTCGATGGCAGGCCTACGCGCACGGCGTCTTCAAGAATCTCATCAAGGATTTCAAGGACAGTGTGTGGGGCGCCGGCATGTGTACCCGTGTGGGCTCATGAAGTTCTGGAAAGGTTGAGGGTTTAGAGGTCTGGAGATGGTTTGGGGGTGCAGCCCCACAGCTTCCAACAATCGTTGAAGAGCCTATCAGGAGCAGCACGCGATTCAGCAGTGGAACGATGGAGACTTGCTTCCGCCGACCATCAGCCACGAGCCGACTGAGCACGCAGGGGCCTCAAGCATCACGTAAAAGGTGCGAGTGAACCAAAACCCTAAACCCTAAGCCAACAAGCCTCAACCCTTTAAACCCTAAAAGTCCTCAACCCTATAAACGCTAATAATCCTGAGTTGAACCCGCTAGCCAGTACTCGTACAGCCAGCACTGGTCACCGATGTCTTCCGTTTCCTGCGAACCGCTGTGCCTGTATAGTCTCCTTAGGAATTAAGTGAATACTTGTATGGATTCCGATAAAACCCCATACCGAATAGCAACTAATATTAGTTAATGTGATTTTAAGGGTTTAGGGTGAGGTGCAGGCTGTCTGGGGAGTTGTCTTTCCTCCGTGTTTTGGGTGTTTTTCCCTTATATACTTTGAACCGAGCTGGAGACTGGAAGGGTTTTGGGGTTCAGGGTTTAGGATTTTGGGTTTGGAGTTTATGGCTTTGGGCGTAGGGCTTAGGGCTTAGGGGTCTCTAAGGCGTGGAAGCTTTCGGAACGCTTGGCGGCCAGCTTTCGGCGGTGGCTGAGAACGCGCACGACGTGCCCGGAGGTGGACCAGCTGCGCCGCAGAACCGCGCCTGAGCTGCTGCTGGATTTCGATGAGGCGATTGCAGGCACAGTTTGGGTTTAGGGTTTTAGGGTTTTAGGGTTTTAGGGTTTTAGGGTTTTAGGGTTTTAGGGTTTTAGGGTTTTAGGGTTTTAGGGTTTTAGGGTTTTAGGGTTTTAGGGTTTTAGGGTTTTAGGGTTTTAGGGTTTTAGGGTTTTAGGGTTTTAGGGTTTTAGGGTTTTAGGGTTTTAGGGTTTTAGGGTTTTAGGGTTTTAGGGTTTTAGGGTTTTAGGGTTTTAGGGTTTTAGGGTTTTAGGGTTTTGGGGTTTTAGGGTTTTAGGGTTTTAAGCCTTTCTAAAGGGGCCCTTTAAAGGGATTGTAGGGTTCTGTGTAGCAGGAGGCTATGCTTCACGGGTCTTGCAAGCGTACGCGAAATTCTGTAGCAGGGCCCTTCTTCGCTTCGCAGGTGTTTGCAAGGAGAACCAGCCCAAGTCACCCCAAGACCCGGGCAAAGAAAGCTTCACGCAACTGCAAAAAAGCATGCTGGTCGCTATTCTAGAAGGTGATGATTGGAAGCGTCACCTGAAAGATCTGGACCCATCACGTTGGGGCGTTGAGTGGCAGCAGAGGTGGGTCGAGAACAAGTACTACCAGCAGATGCATTGGATGAGCGCTGGGGAGGATATTCGCTTCGGTCACGACAAAATCAGCGCCGCGTTTCTGCATGGTGAACATGGCAAGCAGCCTTTGGACGCGACGATTCAGGAGCTTGTTGATGGACCTGAATGGGTCGAGTCTGTGCCAGCGTTGGTAGCGGTCCGTTTCCAAGGCCGTGTATATGTTGTCTTTGGGAATAGACGCCTTCACTGCCTCAAGGAGGCTTACAAACGACGGCATGCTGAGTTGCACTTCAAACTCATCATCCACGACCTCCCAGCATGCAAGAGCATTGAGGATGTGGGCTTGAGAAATGTTTTCAAGATCAGAGCTATCCTCGCCACAAGCACAGAGTGCGGTGGCCAGCATGTTCATGTGAATCGGTCGAAGAGGGCGCGACGCTGATGAAAATCCTGTCGGGTGGGCGAGGACACTTACTAGGGCTGTCTAAGCACGCCCCAAACCCTAAGAACACCAACAGCGCCCCAAAACCCTTAAACCCCAACCACCCTCAAGCCGATAGGATCCGAATAAATCGCACTGGCGAAGGGAACGTGCCGCCTAGCGCGAGGTCAGCTCCGTTTCCCGGCCCTGGGAGAGGGTTCAGGGTTTCGGGTTTAGGGCTTAGGGTTTCGGGTTTAGGGTTCTCGAGAGTCTGGATTATTGTTTTTGGCTGAGGGTGTAATGTGGTGCCCTGCCCCTTCAACCCCTTACCCCACCCCTAAACCACCAACCCTCTTTAGAGGTGTTGCTCGTAGGCGCTTCGGTGTTTGAGGACTCGCATTCGAGGGAGATGTGCTCGTAGCGTTTGGGGCACTGTCGGCTCTGGGAGCAAAAGTTTGGGTTTAGGTTTGGGGTTAGGGTTGCTTAGGGTTTGGGGATTATTTAGGGTTGTTCAGGGTTTAGGGCTAATGATTTTGGAGTTTTTAAGGGTTAGTGTGTGTTTTTTGGGAGCAGGCTTTTAAAGCCGCCCATGAACCGCGATCGAAATGTAAGGCTAAACCCTAAACCCTGAACCCTCCTGCCCTTCAAAATCCCTGGCTTTGGCAGGCGAAGGGTGCTTCCAAGCCCCCCACGGCTGCGAAGAGCCGCCGGACCGAAGTTCCGTCAGTGTGAGGTCTGAAGGCGGTATCATTTAGGTCGAGGGTTTAGGGGTTTAGGGGTTTTGGGTTTAGGGTTTAGAAATCAAAGCTTAGGGTTTCCAGCTTTGGGTCTCTCGGTGTTTACATTGCAGGCCGTCATCGTTCGATGCAAACCCTCGGTGTCTGTGAAACAAGTGTGGGATTTTCTTAAGGCTTGGATTTGAAGCCTGCAGACCCCTGAAATTTACCATACTTGCCGTTGTTTTCAAATGTTTTTTCTGAGCTCAATAGACCACGGACTTGAGTCCGGTGTTGCCACTTGCGGTGTCGCTTTTCTGTAGATATCGTGCCGTAAGCCCTGTAAGCCCTATAAACCCTATAAACCCACCCTCTAGACCTCCTAGATCCTCGGCCCTTCTCCTTCGAAACATGCCTGAGGCCGGCCCAAAGCCAAGGCCAAAAGCCTCGCAGCGCCCCTTGGTGTCTGGATTTTGGGACGGCTGAGAAGAGTCGCCACGTCAAGTGTTGACCCAAATGCTTGTGGAATCACAGGCCTATGAGGAGTAACCCTTAACCCCAGCCCTAAACCCTATTTCCCCTCAACCCTAAGAGGGTGATGGAGTAGCCGCCTTAAGGGGCCTGGGCCGGGTTTGCAAAATCTTTGTTCAGCTCAGGCTCTTGCCTCCTTGCAACGACGATCCATCACAGGTCCTGCGGACTGGGGAGGTTCAGGGCATTGGGCTTTGGGGCTTGGGGTTTTGGGACTGCGTTTTTGGATTGATGGGCCCAAAGCCCCCGTAGTTTGTGAACTGCAACAAGCTGTGTCTCAATCTCATTGGTGGAAGTGTCAGGAGAGCCGCGAGCAGTCCGCTCCGTCGAGAGCCCCAGGAGTTCGGAGGTGGCGGTGTTTTTTGCTTGTTTTTTTTTCCTGTTTTTTCCTTATTTTGGTTTCCGGCTCTCTGGCCTGGCAAGCAAGCAAGCAAGCTTTTCCGGCCCTGTGGCCTGTAGCCACGCAAGCAAGCCAGCAGGCAAGTATGCAAGCAGGCAAGCAAGCAAGCAAGCAGGCAAGGAGGCAAGCAGGCAGGCAAGCAACCGAGCAAGCAAGCAGGCAAGCAAGCAAGCAGGCAAGGAGGCAAGCAGGCAGGCAAGCAAGCAAGCAAGCAAGCAAGCAAGCAAGCACGACAACAAGCAAGCAAGCAAGCAGGCAAGGAGGCAAGCAGGCAGGCAAGCAAGCAAGCAAGCAAGCACGACAACAAGCAAGCAAGCAAGCAGGCAAGCAAGCAAGCAGGCAAGGAGGCAAGCAGGCAGGCAAGCAAGCAAGCAAGCAAGCAAGCAAGCAAGCAAGACAGCAAGCAAGCAAGCAAGCAGGCAAGGAGGCAAGCAGGCAGGCAAGCAAGCAAGCAAGCAAGACAGCAAGCAAGACAGCAAGCAAGCAAGCAAGCAAGCAAGCAAGCACGACAACAAGCAAGCAAGCAAGCAGGCAAGGAGGCAAGCAGGCAGGCAAGCAAGCAAGCAAGCAAGACAGCAAGCAAGACAGCAAGCAAGCAAGCAAGCAAGCAAGCACGACAACAAGCAAGCAAGCAAGCAGGCAAGGAGGCAAGCAGGCAGGCAAGCAAGCAAGCAAGCAAGCAAGCACGACAACAAGCAAGCAAGCAAGCGGGCAAGCAAGCAAGCAGGCAAGGAGGCAAGCAGGCAGGCAAGCAAGCAAGCAAGCAAGCAAGCAAGCAAGCAAGACAGCAAGCAAGCAAGCAAGCAGGCAAGGAGGCAAGCAGGCAGGCAAGCAAGCAAGCAAGCAAGACAGCAAGCAAGACAGCAAGCAAGCAAGCAAGCAAGCAAGCAAGCACGACAACAAGCAAGCAAGCAAGCAGGCAAGGAGGCAAGCAGGCAGGCAAGCAAGCAAGCAAGCAAGACAGCAAGCAAGACAGCAAGCAAGCAAGCAAGCAAGCAAGCACGACAACAAGCAAGCAAGCAAGCAGGCAAGGAGGCAAGCAGGCAGGCAAGCAAGCAAGCAAGCAAGCACGACAACAAGCAAGCAAGCAAGCAGGCAAGCAAGCAAGCAGGCAAGGAGGCAAGCAGGCAGGCAAGCAAGCAAGCAAGCAAGCAAGACAGCAAGCAAGCAAGCAAGCAGGCAAGGAGGCAAGCAGGCAGGCAAGCAAGCAAGCAAGCAAGACAGCAAGCAAGACAGCAAGCAAGCAAGCAAGCGGGCATGCAAGGAGGCAAGCACGGGGGCTGCCCCCCCCCCCCGACCCCCTGCTTGCCCCCCCCAACCGCCCGGTTTTTTTCAGGCTGCCACTGGGCTGCCACCCATTGTAAGCCGTGCAGTCTTGTTCAAGCACATGATGCGAGCATTGTGTTTGCAAATGGGTGTTCGCAATTGGGGGGCTCCGCGTCCCTAGAGCCCTTACAGCTAACCCCTGAAGCCATTAGAGTCCTCAGAGCTCTTAGAGCCCTGAGAGGCTTTCGGGCCCTGCGAGCCCTTAAATCTGCAAGGCCCGTACGGAACACCCTAAAACCCCTAAAGCCCCCCAAAACGCTCCTAAAACTCTGAGCGCCGGAATTAGGGTTCGCATTCTTCGCGCCCCCTCGACAGAGGGGGGAAGCCAGGAGGTTCCCGACGAGAAAACGGAAAAACAAAAAACAAAAAAAAAACTGAAAAAAAATAAGGGAAAAATCCCCGGCCCGTTGTTCGGACATTACAGGGCTCCCGAATAAAGGCTGTTCCCTGGAGGGGGGGGGGGGAGGGAAGCGTGCGTACCCCCATGGTCAGTTCTCAAAATAAGGGTCCTCGTTGGGTACCCTAAATAAGAGGGGCCACCTTACAATAGGGACCCCAAAAAGGACCATATTTCAGGGACATTCACCAAATCATTTCAACGGAAGGGATTTTGTGGGCTTTGGCCAAGAGGCTCCTTATGCAGCGTTTAGGTTGCAAGATTTAGAGCTTTTTTGAGCGCCTCTGAGAGCATGTTCATGGTGCAACATTCAGGGTCCGCTGGCCGCGCATCGCAGGTTCTGCAGATCTATACAGTACTATATAAATCTATAAACATCTACAAATAAGTACATAAATAATATATACATATATAGATATCCCCCTTGTGGAGCCCCTTTGTGGTGGGGGCGTCTAGGATAAGGGTTGATCGGTTTAGTCACTTAAAGACCGGCATGCGGACCGTCATCCAAACCGCCATGACCGCTGTATTCTGCAGAGACACGAGGGTCGGAAGGTGACAGTGCAAAGGTGCACCGCTAGGAAAAATTCTACAGGCCGGAGACGTACACAAGCAAAAACTAACAAACCTTCTACAGAGGCCCGGCCACACCTTGGCAAACAAAAAGCGAGCCACACCTATCTAGAGCATTTCGTGGCGGATCTCCGGGTTGAAGTCGGAGAAGGCACGCATTTTGAACAAGCTTGAACCGCTGTTGAGCAGTTTCAAGAACTGTTTTTTGGTGCTCGCCATTTAACATCAACCATCTGTTAAGTCTTCATATCCGGTTATATCAGGTCACAGTTTAAAGTTCAGCAAGTTCTACATTGAAGAACATGCAACTTCCTTGGTTTTTCAGTTGTGCAAAGATGGTTGACATCTACCACGTTGTAAGCACCTTAAATATGTTAATCAAGGATCTCAGCTTTGAGCGTGATTCCTTAGGCCACCGGCGGCAAAGCAGGAAGCGGAAAACGCCGCAGGCTCTGGCTGAGGGCGGGATGGCATCGTGCATCGTCGGGTGCAGGATTTCAAAGAAGGTTGGGTTTAGATTTTTTCAAGGGCACTGAACCCTAAACCCTAAAACCCTAAACCCTAAACCCATGGGAAAGACTCAAAAAGAAGCAGTCTGACAGGCCCTGGGGGGAGCAAGACCGAGCCACTGGATGTTGCCAACAAGGCAGGGCATCGCAAGGCAAACTCGAAAGCTTTAAACGTTACCGCAGCATTCCGCCCTTAAAAAGGGAGGGAGGGCGGCCAAAGTCCCGAAGATTTGTACAAAACAAACCCGGACCCCTGGAACATCTCATAGAACTGAGCATCTCTTCATCCAATCTTGAAATCCCAAGTTCAGGCGTTTACAGTAGTTTCAGGTGACTGGTGCCTCTTCGCAGTCAAAGATCGCACCGCCTTCCTAAACCCGAAGTTAGCACTACATACGCAAATGGATGCGATCGTTTTGGAGGGCTTTGTCAGGCTGAGATTGCAAAAGGGAGGGCATTTTTTGTTATTTCCCAAACTAGCTGGCAGACACTTTGGCGAAGCCGTCTTGCGAACCACCGCCGCTGAACCAAGCTTTAAGCCCATGGGACCAGATTCTTGACCTCACGCAAACAGTTGCCCCTGCCCAGGTGATTCCAGCAGTGGCTTGGGCTGACAAGTGTGCTGCGCGACCCTATAACTCAGTGGGGTCAGGTTTGCTAGCGATTGAAGCTTTCAGGAAAATTTCGCGCAGGAAGGCTTACAAGTTACATCTCAAATGGAGATTTTGGGAAGTGAATTCATGAAATTTGCTCTTCTTGCTCCCCTTACTTGAAAGCTCTAAAATCTGTCCGGAAATTGAGGGCTTCAGGATTCCTCAACCAATTCTCCTCCCTCAAACCCCCAGCTTCTGAAGCCGCACCCAAACATGAAGGTTCTGGTCTGCCTAAAACATGAAGGTTCCGGTGTGCCTCCCTTGATATCCTGTAATTCCCTTCGAGGGCAAGCCCTGCACCCCAAACTGAAAAAGCCTCCGCTGCCTGCACCTTACGTAGGAAGCCACAAACAGGATCCTCGGGCGGCGCACTGTTGCTACGACATGCTGAAGATCGACAGGGAAGCGACGCTGGAGCAGGCAGGGAAGACCCTAAACCAAAAACCCTAAACCCCAAGCACCTTTGAAGAGTTTGTTCGTAGAGCTGACGTCGGATTGAGCGGTTGGAGGACTATATATGTCAACTCTGCAGACTGGAAGCAACCCCAGACCTCCAGTTCTACAGGTATCGGGTTGTAAGGCGTCCAATTGCTCTGAAGGTCTGAGACCGCAAAACAGTTGCTGCAACAATCAAAGCTGGCGACCGGCGACGGCAAACCTTGCAAACTATGAAGCCCATCCAGCATTTCGTCGTGGACATGCTTAACTTCTGAACCCCCAAACCCTAACCCTAAGCCCCTAAACCGGATGCGAAACGGCTTCCAGCCGCTTGGAGGTGAAGCGAGCATACCGTTCACTGGCGATCTCGATGCATCCGGACAAGGGTGGCAACCACAAAGTTTCGAAGCTTGCAAAGATCGCAGTGGGTTGTGGCTGTGCTATAGCTGTATTATTGGCTTGCGAGTTTTGTTTGGAGTTCTGGCAACTCAAAACTGTTCACTTTGGGGTTTCGGCGACGGGGTTCAGGAGCTTGGGGATTCAAGAGTTTGGGTTTCGGTTTTTTATCTGACAGAAGTTGCACAGAACATTTCCCCAGTTCAATGTCGATCCGCAGGTGTACTGATCCCGCATCATTGTCAGAAGCGGGTGTCGCGTGATTTTGTGCTTCCTTGCTGCGTGTTTGCATGGGTTTTCTTTGCTAAGCCTGGACCTGGAGCCCTCTCGCCTGGTCCCTTCTGCTCCCTTTGGGATCCTCCTATGATGACTTCTGGTTCTGTTCATTCTGAAAAGGGGGGGAACCCCACGAAGCAGTCTAGCCATCGACATGCTGTAATTTGCAGCTTGGCGTTTATCACACAAGACTCCACCTTTGACGCACGCACTACATGGACTTTTGGTAAGGCTTTCTGCTCCCTGCAAGCAGCCTTCGACGTGCTTCAAGACGAGGCTCTTGGCTTGCAAAAGTTTAAGCCTAAGCTGTGAGCAGCGTGCGCAGACCCCCCATTTGTACCTCGAGGGTTCTTGTTGAAATGCATAGCGTCTTGCTTTGGCTACAGCTCTGCTACCCCCAAACAGTATGACCGAAGACACTGCAGCCCCAGATGCTCGAAATGGAGACTGCGACATGCCCTAGCCTGAACCCTGTTGTCCTGTGCTTCAAACAACGTCAACGGGGGTTCAAGAGTGCTCCTAAGTGCATAGCTCACTCGGATCACATGCCCAGCGGCGGCTCGCACACGTTTCTGCAAAGGGCCTGAACCTTGTTGAACCCCGAACTGTGAGTCCAACCTGAAGAACAAACCCTCATGACCCTAAAGCTCTCAGTGACCTTTCTGAAACTATTATGAAAATGTTGAACTGAACTGGTGAAGAACATTCCTTTCCAGGCGGAGAGGAAAGCCTACGACCGGGAGCTGCGGACATCGCGGAGCCGCGATGGGCAAGTAGGCACACATGCTTTGTCTTGCCAGAGATGACTTGGCATGTTCCCCCTTCTACTAGCAGTCCTTAAATCGGGATTATAACAGGAGGGTACTATAATCCCCATTAAGGACTGTTAGTATAATCCCTTCCCCCCTAATGCTAAAACCCCCCCTCCCCCCGTAATTCTAAAATTCGCGTCGGCCAAAAAAATATTTAAAATTAGGGGGACCTAAGCCCCAAAGCCTGAAATGGGAAGCCCAAAAAGCGAGAGAGGCAAAGCACGGCTGGAGCTGAGCGACTGGAGTTGAAATGGGGGGAGAAGGAGGGAGTATAGGGGTTCGGGTTTAGTTCGGGTTAAACCCTGAAACCCTCTGGGCCTTACGCCGAAACCCCAATGGCTCAACTCAAGGGCAGAGGCCCTCAACCCCCCCCCCCCCCAATTCTCAAACAGGTTTAGTATTGGGCTGGGTGCCGAGAGTGTCCGGGCCGGTCCGGGGAAGTTTTTTTCAACATTAGGGTGGGGTTGCGTAGTAGGGGGAAGGGATGAGAGGGGAGCATCCCAAGAGATGACGATGATTGCTCCATGGCCCATAGCTTGCCTGCTCTCGCATGGCATGCGGGGTATCCCTTGGCTCAAGCGCCTGCATCTCCCTGTCAAGGAACGAACAATATGAATGACACGCGAAATAAATCTACTTTGAACGACGAAAATTGGGCGCTCTTTTTCTTTTCTCGTTTTGCACCAATTTAATTATTGTCGCGCGTGCACTCTTCTTTTCATTCTGCGCAATTTATAATCATTTAGTATGCGCATAGGGGCACGAATACGAAGACACAAAGATCTTTCTTATGTGTCCCTGTACTAGTATCATTATATTCACGGGTTCGTAGTTGTAACTACAAATCCTGGAAGTTCTAATTAGTTGACTTCCTTTGCGCACCTCCGATATTATATTTTACGTGGTTTTCTTATCACGGGTGCCCTAATGGTATTCTTCTTCGTTTATTCGCGCGGGAACGAAGACAAGAATGCTGAACAAAATCATTAATGGAATAACTGGGCGTGCATGCAATAAAATATATCTTTTGCCTCACGCCCTAACAAATCCTGAGAGCGGCCTTCACATCGCTCACATTTTGGGACTTCAGGTGTGTGGGGGTGCGGACGCGCGTGATGACATGGGCCGGCCGCGCGGATGACGTTGTCCCAAAGATGGAGCTGACGCGCCTGACTTGCATCACTGAAGCTGCCCGAAGCCGAGAAGCTGCTCGAAACCACGTCTCACAATCAATCCGTGAACTTGAATCCTCGCTTCAGGCTCGAAGGCTGTGTTTGACAGTTGTCAGCACACCCTCGAGCCAGCTTTTTCAAAATTTCGAGGAAGTATCACTCTGAAAACAGTCCTTGCAGTTCCGAGATGGTCTTTGCGCTTCAGGTTTCTGAGAGTCAGCCCAGCCCAGTTCACGTTCAGGAAAGACCTAGCACCCGACTTACACCGAACTCCAGCCATAGGTAACCTAAGCTCTTGAGCCTCCTTATCGGAAATATCCTTAAGTTGCTGAGCTCGCGCAGGCAATGGTCTAACGGATTCTGGTCCCGTTGTGCAGCCCACTGCCACCTCGCCCGTGATGCTGCGGGATGCGCTGATGGGTGCCTGGGCAGTCCTAATTTCCACCCCCTAATTTCCACCCCTGAAGCTGCCTTGGCCTGGGTCTCAGGACTTGCCGAATTTTCGATGTTCGAGGGCGAAGGAACTCAAGCTGCAGGCCTTCAGGGAGCATTCTTGAGGGGTGGGTTCGTGATATGCGGCCGTGTGGATCGTTGAATTCACAAAACCACAAAGTCTCCTGGATTCTGAAGTGGTTCGGGCATGGCGTCGCAAGGCTTGAGCAAACCACTGTTGTGTAAAGGTTTGGGCAACGGTTTGGGTGTTCTTCTAGCTTCGCCATTGGTTTCGCGCGCAAGAGCGGGAAAGCATGTGCAAAACTGATGCACTCCGAAAATAATGAGATCCCGAGTCCAACGGGGCCTGAACGCCCGAAACCTCTAGAAAGACACTGCGAGGTGAACATTCCAGTTTGCGTTTTCCAACAGCCGGTTGGCTTTAGGGCATCAAGATACTGCAACATGCCATTTTTCTCACCTCGCATCGGAGCACTTCGTCAGGCCCTATCTGAGGGTAGTTTCATGGGCCCTTAATCTGGTCCCTAAACTCCTTGAAAGGGTTCTGAGGTATGGGCCCTTAGCTTTTATGGGGTATAAGGGGTACATACAGGGTGACTACCCTAAGACCTAAAGCTCCGGACAATTGCAACCTCATGTCCAAAGACTACTGCTGACAAGTCGGCCCTGCTTTATCAGTCGGATTCGGATTCCGCTCCAGGTGCCCACAAAGCCGAAAAACCAAGAGTCGAGGTATCCTCTCGATTCAATTCACCCCTTGTGAATGGCTGAAAGCTGCTTTTCCGCCGCAGTTCGAAAGGTCTCGAATCAGTGTAGTCTGAGCCCTGAACCCACGCAACCGTCTTCTATCCAAGGAACCGCTCCAAAGCATTGGCCCTATCTGCTAGACAAGCTGACAGATGAAAATCTGAAGACGTGCTTTGGCAGAATATTTTGGGGGTCAGTTTGAGGTGAAACCGATAGGCTAGTTTGCTTGATTACGCACGGTGTATTTCACTTGTTAACCCTAAACGCCAAGCCCGACCAGGCTGCAGAATTTCCTCGGCCTCACACAGCAAGAGCAGCGCATTCTTGCCGAGGAGAAGCTCTTGGGAGCTGCAATCAGGCTGTTTCTGCTTAGTTGGTTTCAGTGTGTGTTCTGGGCTTTCAGGATGTAGACCACTCAACGAAACAAAGAGAGAAAGAAGCCCCAAGCCCAGCCCAATCGACGCCACGCAGAATGTGGTGTTCACTGCAGTGGTGTTTAGCTTACGCCTCTCGTACCCTGGTTTAGACCTCCGTGTGGCGTGGATTCGGCTTAAGCTTACAGGGTATGTAAGTAGGGTGGCCAAAGTTGCGCCTGACCTCAAAGCATTGTGTTTGGGCCCGCATATGTTGAAAGCTATTGACTTTTAGGTTCCCCCCTTTCGTCGGTATGGCTTCGTGGGTGTGCGTTGCCTCTCCCCACTGCCATGTAGTGGTGCTGGGCTCAGGCTTATAGAGCCTTTTTGTGAAAAGTGAGGTCAACTCAACCCCCCCGCCCTACGCAAAAACCTAATTCATCCCAGTCGACCAAGCCAAAGCCTATGCGCTACAAATGTGCTGCAATTTTGCACTGTCCGTTCCACTGTCAAGCACGTATTCGACTTCTTGGTGTACCGGGATGTCGTCCGCTGGGCGCTCTTGAGCCTCTCGAGCTTATCCCTGAACTTACGCTCGGAGCCTGAGCTTCCAAGCGAAAAAACGCGGATGAGACCCCTCAGCACGTTTCAAAGCATCTACTCCCTAAACCCTAGACCCTGGATCCCAAAAAACCTTGCCAGGAGTTCCGGGGCAAGCTCCCGCCGCAGCACAGCAGGCAGGGAGTTCCAGGCCTTCCTTAGGGATGAAAGCGCAAGCCAAGGCTCTTGGTTTTGCTAGCGAATTTGGGTGGCGGGGGTTGACTGCAGTTTGGAGTTGAGCGCCAAAGAGGCTTCAGGATTTCAGCTTTAGGATTGATGCCAGGTTTCGGGTTTTCAGTCTTGGAGGCTTACGGATGTAGGAGAATGTAGGAGAAGCTCGGAATTAGGCACCAGAGCTTAAAGGAAACAAACTCCTGCATCACTGAGCTAGGACAGACATGAATCGAAAGGCTACTCCAGGGTGAGGGGTTCTCTGAGAGGCTTTCTCCGAAGCTATTCCCGCAGTTCAGACGGATGCCTCAACCCTAACACGACAAACAAAATGTCGACTCTCCACTGCAGCAGGTATTTGCCGTCATGGCAACACATACATGGCGAAAATCTCAATGAGCGGCATAAGCAACTCGGCTGTAGGTCGGTAAGAGACTCATGGAGTAAGCCGTTTAGGGTCCCGAAGTACCCATCTGCAGATGCTAGCTACAAGGGTTCCGTGCTTGATGGCCTTGTTGCAATCAGGGTTCACGCCCTCGGACGCCATCCTAAACCCCAGACCCTCTACCCTAAACCCTAAACCACAAGGCGTTCCGAGAACTTTTGACACAGGACTGCACGACTGTAAGCCTGGAGCCCTTGAACTTTCAAGCCTGAACTGAGCACTTCTCCATTTCATGGTGTTTAGGGTTTAGAGATTGTATGAGGTCATGTTCTTTGTGACTTTTTTTTTTTTTGGGGGGGGGGGGGGAGGTTCTTCAGCAAACAGTGGTTTGGGGTTACCGCTATAAGGCGGCCACTAATCTTTGGGCACCTCAAACAAAAGCCAGATGTTTCAGAGCTGACCAAGTCGACCTGAGAGCCCAGGCGTGACCTCCAAGCTGGCCAGCCTCACCGAAGCCATCGATGCGGGCATTGCTCTGAAGCTTGGAAACCCAGTGGTAGCCATTTCCCGTTTTGTTGGTTCAAGGTTCCCTTGTAAAGTAACCAACCCAAGAATTTGAAGGGTACCCTTGTTTATACTGTGGTTACTGGGCTACCGAGGAAAGAGATCCGAAACATTGTCAAAAGACACCCAGACGATTTGGAAGGCGCCTGAGGGCCGTGACGAAAATCCAGACAAGCTTGCAGGCTCTGCAGATCATCCTCAGGCAACAGACCCCACGCCCCAATGCGTTATGAACTTGATAAACCGAAACAATTGAATACCTGGGTAGGCCCATTGGGGCATGTTGTAATTTCCCTTCTTGGGTTCAAGCGGATCCTCTTCAGGAACATTCTTCAGAGGGTTTTAAGGGCCATCCTAGTACCTTCAGCCCCTGTTGCCAGGTGGGCTGCGTGCTGCCGTACAGGAACGGCGTGTCACCGACCAAGACACCATATTCTTTATGAGGTCTGGGACTCATTCTTCGGATCTTAGGAGCATTCCGCCATTGAGCTTTTAGGGGTTTCGATTGTTAGGCCGATCTGCTGACGGCATAGTAGGCAAATAGAGGCTTGCGACACCTTGAGCCCAATAAGAAGTCCAAAAGATGTACTGTAGGGCTGTAGGGTTTCGCCCCGAGGTTCCGCTACGACTTTAGACACGACAAGACGATTCGCCACATGACGCCGAGCCTGGGCTGTGTTTCGGGTTAAGCCAAAACGAGTTGACAAGGTGAGCAAGGTAAGACCAGTCTTGCAGGTCAACCTTAGCCAGCTTAGTCTTCGATGCCGTTTTCATCTTTTGTAGAGCCTGCACTGTTCACCGCCCGGCAAAAGCATCCAGCCCTCAACCCCAGACGGCCCCACAGGGCCCAAGGCCCCCCCCCCCCACCCCCCCCCCCCCCCCCACCCCCCAGCCCCCCCCCCCCCCGAAGCTCAAAGCCCCTCGCTTGATGCAAAGATATCTGTCCCAGCATCCTTGAGGCCCTGAAGCCCTGAAGCCCTAAACCCCAAACCAGTTCAAGACCCCCTAAACCCTAAACCCTAAGCCCTAAGCCCTAAGCCCGCCGAGCGAAAGAGCCTCCGCCTTCAATCAGGGACACAAGCGACATTGAGGAGGTGCTGAAGGATCGGCGTACCTTTCAACGCTTAGTCCAGTGCCTTGGCTGTGTGGCGGAGATGTGGAACGTAGAGCCCTGAACTGACTTCTCCCTGGACTTCTCTCTCCGCAACATCTAAGCATGATCTGGCCTGGGGATCGTGAAGATTCGGCGTTTAGGCCGGTGCTGAACTTGGCATGGTTTTGGGTGTCTTGGCATGGTGCTGTTTCGCGTACCGTTTTTTTTGCTCCCAAGCCTAGATGCCTAAATCCCCAAAAGGTCCTGAGACACTTCGTCCCCAACGTTTCATTTCAGCCCAGAACTCCGAACTTCCCTGGCCCCTCAGCTGTTTGATTCCGAGCTCAGAAGGCTTCATGAGTTCTTCGCTTGTTGTAGCCCTATAAAGTCCTTAGACGTTAAAGCCACATCGGCCCCAATTCGGGGTTGGATGAGTTTACGTGGTAGGGGGCCAGGGCGTGGATTCTTTTGACACGCCGAGGCAAGGGGCCTCCAAAGCCCAGTTTGAGGAAGCTCACCTGTCCTCATCTCAGAGGGTTTTAGCAGCTTTGAGCGTCTCCTGCGTCTTACCAATTCGAAAAGGGTTTTGGGGGGATACTATGAGGGAATACTATCCTTCTAGTAGTTATTCCGACCCCTATATCCACCGTTTAGGGTTGCTGGTCGCGCAAGGTAGCTGTATTTCACTTAGGCCTTCTATGCAAACCTCTCACACACGAGGCCTGTAAATATCAATGTCGAGCCACATATGAAAGCGAAGATCGACTGACACACCCGCTTGTTTTTAGGGTTTCGGGTTAGGGTTTAGGGTTTAGGGACCGTTGCAGGGCAATGAAGCAAAGAACGCATGAGGCGAAGGCTGCCACTCGCCAAGCAAGCAAAGCAAGCAGAGTTTGCCACTGTTTGGGTTTAGGGTTTAGGGTTTATGGCTTAGGGTTAGAGTTTGCTCTAGCTGATGTTCCTCTGCTCGATGGGCTGGCAAAATTGAATAATTTCATTGTTGCTTCTTCAACCCACCCAAACAACATCCCATGCTCTGAGCAAAGGCACACAGTCCAGCAAAGCTGGGTCAGCAACTGGTGACGGAGGCAGCGGTGCGAGTTCAGCCTCAAAAGGATGAGATTCCAGCCTTCTGAAGAGGTTTCGGTCGTTTTGTTCTAAGCCCGAAGTGCGAACTGCGTAATTGGGTCTCTGTGGTTACCTAACCCGAACTGTAGAAGGGTTCACAAGAGAACACAGAACACGGAGTACAGCCCACAGAAGAGAATCGAGTTCTTAAGTAACCGCCTCTGGCAGCATTTTGTTTTCTTTGTGGTGCTACGGTGCACGCGCCCAAGCAGATCGCTTTCCCAGCCCACATTGGGCTTTAGGGTTACATGTTCAAGAACTTCGGGTTGCGGGGGGCTGCAGGATTTAGGGCGTCAAGTTTAGTGGTGAGGCCTTGTGGTAATTTTCCGAAGTTCTTGAGCGGGATCCCACGGCATTGAGTCAAGGGTTTCGGGTCAGAAAGTTGGCGAGGCAGCCGTCTTATATAAAACTCACCGATTGCCACCATTGCTCCCAGAGACCCCCCCCCGTGTGCAGCTTAAATAGGGTCTATTTGGAAGCTGAGACTCGGGTTTTAAAGAGGAAATAAGGCCCCAAAACGTATGCTTATTCACAAAAGCCATCTGCCAAATAGACCCTGTTGTCGTTTCTGGGGGTTCTGGGGCAAGGAATTAAATAATTTAAATAATTTAAATCCGAAAGGGGCGTTTCGGATTTAAATTATTTAAATTATTTAATTCTGGGAAGGGGGGGGGGCCTGGTCGGGCCTGGCCCCCCCCCCTTTTCGGATTTAAATTATTTAAATTATTTAAATTATTTAAATTATTTAAATTATTTAATTCCGGGGGGGGAATTAAATAATTTAAATAATTTAAATCCGAACCCCCCCTTTCGGATTTAAATTATTTAAATTATTTAATTCCCCCCCCCGGAATTAAATAATTTAAATAATTTAAATAATTTAAATAAATTAAATCCGAAAAGGGTGGGGCCAGGCCCGGGCCCCCCCCCCCTTCCCAGAATTAAATAATTTAAATAATTTAAATCCGAAAGGGGCGTTTCGGATTTAAATTTTTTAAATTATTTAATTCTGGGAAGGGGGGGGAGCCTGGTCGGGTCCGGCCCCCCCCTTTTCCTTTTCGGATTTATATTATTTAATTTATTTAAATTATTTAATTCCGGGGGGGGGGAATGAAATAATTTAAATAATTTAAATCCGAACCCCCCCTTTCGGATTTAAATTATTTATATTATTTAATTCCCCCCCCGGAATTAAATAATTTAAATAATTTAAATAATTTAAATAAATTAAATAAATTAAATAAATTAAATCCGGAAAGGGGGGGGGGGGGGCAGGACCGGGCCCCCCCCCTTCCCAGAATTAAATAATTTAAATAATTTAAATCCGAAACGCCCCTTTCGGATTTAAATTATTCAAATTATTTATTTCTGGGCAGACGTTGCGCGTGGACCTTGCCGTACTTCATCATATCCCTCTTCTCGGCCTATCTCTTCTGCTCCTTTCCTTACTCTTCTCCTTTTCATAATTCTTCCTCTTTAGTTGTTCTTGTTTCGAAAAGAAAGAGGGAAGGGAGAGATAAGGGAGATAGGATAGATAAAGAAGAGTGCCATCTTCTTTGCGCCTTGTTTTGTTTCTCCCTCTTCTCTATTCATCTCTCTTCTATTCTTTTCTTTGCTATTCCACTGAAATTGGATTCCCTGTATCTCTCCTCTGTCCTTCTCTCTCGCTCCTCTTCTCCTGTTCCCCTCTAAACGATTGCTCTTTACAGATAGGTGCCCTCCCTCCTCGTCAGGAAATCTCTTTTCGCTTATTTTGCTTTTTGAAGCGAATAAAACAACGGATAAGAGAGGAAAGGGAATGACTAAGTAAAGACAGGAGCTCTTCAATAGGTGCCCTCCTCTTCAGGAAATCTCTTTTCCCTTATTTTGCTTTTTGAAGCGAAGAAAACAACAGATAAGAAGAGAGGAAAGGGAATGACTAAGTAAAGAGAGGAGCTCTTCAATTTCCCTCCCTATATCTGATGTTACTTTTCCTTCTTGGGCGGTGCCCTTCTTTCTCCCTTGAAGATGCAGAAAACGATCAGGAAGGGCACCCGTTCCATCGCCCGTATATAGACAGAGATAAATCATGAGCATCAGCTGGGTTTGCTGCCGATCCAAAATGGGCGTCCCTTTTAATCGCTTTCTGTGTTTTGAAACGAGCAAAAGGGGCACCCTTACTAAGTGTTTTCTTTTAGTGTCCCTTTTCTTCGCTTGAAGACGCTGAAAACGATCCAAAAAGGACACCCGTTCCATCGCCCATATATGGGGACAGAGATAAATCATGAGCATCAGCTGGGTTTGCTGCCAATCCAAAATGGGCGCCCCTTTTAATCGCTTGCTGTGTCTTCAAACGAGCAAAAGGGACAGCCTAAGTGTTTCCTTGTGGTGTCCCTTTTCTTCGCTTGAAGATGCAGAAAACGATCTAAAAGGACACCTGTTCCATCGCCCATATATAGGGAGAGAGAGAGAGAGAGAGAGAGAGAGAGAGAGAGAGAAATCATGAGCATCAGCTGGGTTGGCTGCCAATCCAAAATGGGCGTCCCTTTTAATCGCCTTCTGTGTCTTCAAGCGAGCAAAAGGGACACCCTAAGTGTGCTCTTGTGGGGTGTCCCTTTTCCTCGCTTGAAGATGCAGAAAACGATCAAAAAGGACACCCATTCCATCGCCCATATATAGGGAGAGAGAGAGAGAGAGAGAGAGAGAGAAATCATGAGCATCAGCTGGGTTGGCTGCCAATCCAAAATGGACGTCCCTTTTAATCGCTTTCTGTGTCTTCAAACGGACAAAAGAAAACACCTAGGTTCCTCACTTGAAGATCCAGAAAACGGCCCAACAAGGACACCCGTTCCATCGCCCATTTATGGAGAGAGAGAGAGAGGGAGAAAGGAAAAAATCATGAGCATCAGCTGGGTTTGCTTACATGTTCATTGTTATTCCTTTTGTTTTTTCTAACGGAAATGAACAAGAGAAGAGAAAAATAAGAACCAGAGGAAAGATGAAAACGAGCACCATCTTCTGTTTGCCTGACTTTTGCATTTCGCCTGTCCTCATTTCTCTTCCATTCTTTTCATTGCTCTTCCATTTAGAGTTGCATTCCTTTTGGTCTCTCCTCTCTCCTTTCTCTCTCCCTTCTCTTCTCTTGTTCTCCTTTAAATCTCAAAAACACACAAAAGGAAGTTTCTTTTCCTTGTTGAATGAAGAATGAAAAAAGAAGAAAAGAGATAGGGAAAGAAATTGAAGAGCTCCACTGCCTATTGGTTCATTCCATTTCCTCTCTTTCTATGTGTTGTTTTCCTTGTCGTTTCAGAAAGCAAGCAAAATAAGGGCAAGGGGGCTTCCTGAAGAGGAGAGAGGGCACCTATCTGCGAAGAGGTCTTGTCCTTTGTAATAATAGAGGGAAAAGAGAGAGACAAGGAAGGGAGAGATGATAGATAAAGAAGAGTGCCATCTTCTTTGCGCCTTGTTGTGTTCCTCCGTCTCCTTGTTCCTTGTCTCCTCTCTTCTGTTCAGTACCCTTCCAGAAAATTAAAATGGCCTCCTTGTTGTCTCTCCTCTCTCACTTCCCTTTCCCTTCTCTCCTTCTGTTTCCGTTTAACTGATAAAACACAAGACAGGAACTTGTATGATAAAGCAGTGGAAGGTAAAGCAGAGGGTGACTCCTTGCGCTTAGACCTTGCCGTACTTCATCATGTCCCTCTTCTCGGCCTACTTCTGCTCTTTTCCTTACTCTTCTCCTTTTCATAAATTCTTCCTCTTTAGTTGTTCTTATTTCGAAAAGAAAGAGGGAAGGGAGAGATAAGGGAGATAGGATAGATAAAGAAGAGTGCCATCTTCTCTGCGCCTTGTTTTGTCTCTCCCTCTTCTCTATTCATCTCTCTTCTATTCTTTTCTTTGCTGTTCTATTGAAATTGGATTCCCTGTATCTCTCCTCTGTCCTTCTCTCTCGCTCCTCTTCTCCTGTTCCCCTCTAAA